GGATTATTTTAAATTGTACTTGAGTTCTAGTATGGACAGTAATGGGGTGGGAAGAAGGATCAAGGAGGGCAAGTGAGAAACCTGAAAAGACAGACTAAGACAAAACACCAACACAGGGCACAGGATTCATGGCTTTGTTTTTTTCTTAAACCTAATTTGTAACATCTTGTCACAACACTTCCTGTGCACTATCTTCTTTCAGGAATAACACTTTTTGCTGCTACCCTTTAAAAAGTGTCATTCTTCATAACTTAACTCTTATCCCTTGAAATTGTTACTGGGGTCTACTGCTTTCCAACTTTCTTTTTCTTTGTTTTCTTTTTTTAAGAGACAGGGTCGGGCTCTGTCACCTATACTGGAGTGCAGTGGCCAGATCATAGTTCACTGCAGCCTCAAATTCCTGGGCTCAAGTGATCCTCTCATTAGGCCTTTCTGAGTAAAGACTACAGGTGTGTGTCACCACACCACGCTAATTTTTTTTTATAGTGACAGTCTCTCACTATATTGCCCAGGCCAGTCTCAAACTCCTGGCTTCAAGGGATCCTCCTGCCTTAGCCTCCCAAAGCTCTAGGATTATAGGCATGAACCACCATGCCCAGCCCAGCTTTCTATGATAATGAAAATGTTCAATATCTATGGTGTATCATACCGTACCTACATGACTACTGAGCACTTAAAATGTGGCTAATGCAATATAGCAATGGAATTTTTAAACATACTTTATTTTAGTGAAATTAGTTACATGAAGCCACCTTACTGGACAGTGCAGGTCTAAGGAAAATTTACAGTGGAAATTGGTCACAAAGGCAATATGCAGATAAATAAACACAGATGAAATTAAACCACAGAGTGAACTGCGCCTTTGAACTGGATTTTCTCCCATCCTTAAAGCGTTGCTTTTCCTTATCCTATACACAAAGTACTCAATAAATAAAACTAGCCTCAGAACAGAGTGATCTTGCATCAGGCGTGCGAATTTCTGTCCCAGATAGGTACCGGTTTTGGTGCCCTATATCTAAACTTCCATTATTACAAAATGACAGCAGTCTTACCTTCACTATCCCTCAGATAAATATGATGAGGATGAATAGCTCTGAAAGTTATTTGGGCTTCTCATAAGCATGCTGTACTTGACCACTTGGTTGACTGTCCTCCAGGCCTCTTAATCCTTTCCTCTTTGAGGGAGTGGAAACAAGAGAATCAAGGGTAGGCACTGGGGCAAAAATATCAGTCAGGTTGCGTGTACAATATACATCTGCTAGACTTTTTAGTGCCAAGGAACAAGGCACTGCAGTGTTCAGTACTTCCTGGTGTCATTAATCAATAGTTATGAGTAAGCAGTTTGGTGTACTGATACTGCTGTGGGTCATTTAATCATTTATCTAAATCTATAGGTTCAATTAATTTTCTTTGTATTTACTTAACCTTATTTTATTCAATAGCAAACCAGTCTTTCTGCCTGCTAGAAAGCCATGATGTTTTCTCTGGTTCTTGGAAGAACTGTACTTGGACCTTATATAATCCTCAGAAAGGTAAGATCTGGACTACGAATGAGTCACCTGCTAATTATACCAATGGCTGCTCCTTCCTTGACCAGTCACAGAGTATTACCCTATCTCGGTATGCTGCTCTGCTTGTCGTAGTAGGTCAATAAATATTTGTTTTGTGAATGAATGTATGAATAAAGGGAAGTTTGTCACGTGTAAGGGTGGGTAGCCTGCGATAAATAAAGTGTAGACTAGGAGGTCTCAAAATACTTTTTGAACTAAGCCCTTAATCTTCAGTACTTTGGAGTAGAATGGAAATGTCACCAACGCCTTCCCAATTAATTTGCCCTTGCTGTAATGACTGAAACTAGAACTTCCCTTTACACCCATGACCTCTACAGGCATCTCTTTCCTCCGCTCAAGAACAGTAACTGCTCACTGCTATGTCCGCCACATAGCCCCAGAGCCGGGGTGAGAGGTAGGGCTATAGGCTCCTGACTCCCGGCAGTGCCTTTCTTCAAACCCCCACGAGGGTGGGATAGCTCCCTCCATCTCAGCAGCCGCTACCAAGCACCCGACCCACTCTCGCCCGCCTCATCCCTCGATCCCCTTCCCTCCTCACAACACTCCGCGTAAAACTAGCCCAGCCTTCCCAGCCCCACCACCAGTTTTCCCACTTCCGCCCGGCGCGTGAGGCCCTGGGCGGTGCAGGGGAGCGCTGACGACAGACGTGGGCCGTGACGTCGCCGCGCCCTGACGTCAAGCCGACGGGCGGCGCGGTCGCCCGGGAGACCAGGAAAGCCGTTTCACACCCGTCGTAGTCGAAGTCGAGGTGAGGGACGATGGCTTTCCTCAGCCTGGGATGACTCGGTCCACCGGAATGCAGTTCCGGAGTGGAGGCGTGCTCGCACCCGGGGAGAGGACCAGAAAGCTGAGCCGCGGTGCCCCAGCGAGGGCACGAGGTCCCGGGCCTGGACTCCGCCGCCACACTCTTCTGCGGCCCCTTCCTGCTCTCTGCCAGCCCGCGGGTCCCAGGCGCGGTCCGCCTTCCTCCCAGCCCCAGGGAACGCGCGGCTGTGCTTCCTCACCCCCGCACCTTCCTCCTCCTCCTCTTCCGGCCACGGCAGGTCCAGGGGGAACGGGGTTAGAAAGGGACAGATTTGAAAGCCGTTCCAGCAGTTTTGTCTGGCCTTGCGGTTGGTTTCTTTGCGGAAGATCCCGCCGCTTCAGGGAAGTCTTAGGACGTGAACTCCCGCCTTCACCTGCCCCTGACCTGCTCGTAGTGGTGTGATTCACGCCGAGGGAATGGTTCTTTACGTAAGGGCTTGAAAGCTGAACGTGAGTTAATGGCCTAACGTGACACTGGTGTGAGAAACGGAATTGGAAATGAACAAGGACGTGTCTGCATTTTAAAAAATGTCTTTTCGGTGATCTTGTTAGAGAGGAGGTTCACAAACACTCACGTAGCTGCAGCCACTTATCACTGCACCTCTCGCCAAAGTGCAGTCCACACACGTGCAATGAGAAAAATTAAAGGGACTTGTTTGATAACACACGCAAAACTATGTAAGACTAAATTTTAAAAATTTACAAATTTTCCCTGTTGCCAAAAGGGAAAGAGACCCTTCTTTCTCGAGAAACTTAGTATTTGTGAATTCTTCCTCTATTTAATATGTATGAAAATCTTTTTTAAAACCTAGGAATGCTTTTCTTGAGGACCTGGAAGCCATTTCTTTTAAAATGTAAACACCAAGGAAGATAGGGCCCCAATCTCCTTGTCGCTTTGGGAGTTTAACCTACCGCGTTATTCCTAATTGTAAACACCTGCTTTGTTATAGCGCTATGCATTCCTTAGGAGGAAAGCCGTTAGCTAACACAGGTGGTTACCCCAATTACCAGATGAACTAAAGAAGAAATATAAAAGAATGTATAGAACACTGTGTTAAGCCCTCTTCCATGAGGACACTTTACCAATTTCCTTGAGAATGTGTGTGACGGATTGTATCTCCTTGACTGTAGTAAGAAGAGTGGTATTTCCTTCTCTCTTTGTAACCTCATTAGCAGATTAGCTGTGATGTACATCAAAGTCTAGTTAAATGCCTAATTACTAATAAAATTGTTGTCTTTCTGCATTATGGAGCATTTTCTGAGTTGGCAGGATATTTTACTTTTAATTTCCCCCCAATAATCAGAACCTGCCAGTTCCTCCCCTTCTTATGCTAAGGCCATAAAGTTGGAATAGATTCACAATGAGGGCACTACACAAAAACTGTTCTACTGGTGCTTTGCTTCTACTGTCATTTAGATGCGTGCTCTCAGATAGTTTTATGGGTGAAATTTTAAAAGGATGTTTAGATGGTGATTTTTTGGAAAATTCTCCCAATAGAGTTGAAGTTACTGTTTTATTCTACTGATGGCAAATCCACCGTTAAATGACAGAAATGAGAATAGTGAACCTTCTGGGCTCTTGCCACATGATTATGACAGATCTGCCAAACATCCGATTATGGTTGGACCTATGTTGACATGGTTAATGGTACCTCCGTTGCAGACCTCAGTTAACTTTAAGACACATATTATATTATGTTTTATGTGGGAAGACATAAAGTTCGTTTTTGGTTTTAAACGGCACCTCACTGAAATGAGTCTTTGTGCTAACACAAGGAACAAGGAATCTTCTCTTCCACTAGTGGTTGCACCATTTACAAAGATAATGCCACTATAGGACTTTTTGACAACTACAGTTTTCCTGCTGCCTTGCTGTATGGCCGGGGTTGCTGTCTCTGATAGAGTACCTCCAGTCTCTCTTTTCAAAATCCCGCCCCGATTGAATGCGAACAACCTCAGGAAGCCTTCACTAACTCCCACCTCTCATCTGAAACATAAGATATTTTCCTTTCTTGAACTCTTAGACTGCTCTTGTCTATAACTCATGGTCCTCAGGCCTTCTTCCCTGCTATGGAATTGTGTCTGTATCATCTGACTCTGCTGTCACTGCTCTCCCTCTTCTCCTGACTCCTTAGATATGTACAAACAGCCCTCACTCGTGAGGGAAGGATTTAAAAAAAAAAAAAAAAAAGGAACCCAAAGTGCTCCTCCGTTTATCCTCTGTGGTTTTATGAAAGTAGTGACTCACTTTTATATTGAATGGCTTTTATTAGAAAAAGAAAATGTTAAAAGTAAAATATCTGCATAAAATTATGTAAATGTCCATCTTAGATAAAATTGGCACTTCTTATTTTTTGATCAGTCTTCTGTTCAGTATTTGCATATGATATTTAATCTGGTAACTCTAAATTCTCTCTTTCTGTATTTAGTCCAGTATTCATGACACAATTGCTTTTTTCATCTGCTAAACTTAAATGCTATATTTTCATACTTTTTCTGGCAGCATTTCAGAAAAATACTTGATTTTTAAAATATACTGAAATGCGTATTTAAAATTTTAGTCATTATGTATTTGAAAAACAATTAGTAGTAAATCACAGCAGAAATTACTATTAGACTATAAAGTTCTAACAAAAGAGAAAATATTCTTTCTAACTTAGCAGTCTCTATAGTTCTCTCCTGTTCTATTGGCCCAATAACTAATGGAGAAAACCCTAATTGTACTTTCTAACATTGAGCTGATGAAATAAGCATCTGTTGAAACAGTTATCACCATTCATCCCCAAATACTCCCAAGAATTTATAAAGCATCTTAGTTTGAATGTTCTCTACATTATTTCTGTTTGACTGTTGCCATCAGTGTTCTTAGATTTCTTTTTGCTTCAAAGCTCTCTCACCATATTTTGGGAAGTTATGGACCATCACATTCCTGTGCATGCTTTGCCTGAAGAAATCCAAAAGGTATGCTATTATATTGTGTTGCTACAGCCTAACAGTGGGAACGTTTAGTAGTTAGATAATTCTGAAACCTAGAGGAGTGAATTCATTAATTTTGGTCATAGGATCTGAATGAATTGGTGGAGTGGGAGAGGGAATAATTATTATGATAATGAGCAGAATTGTGGAATTCAATTCAGTATAAAGAATTTTGTTACTGTGAAAGAAGACATATATCTAATTCCAATACAGTATTTGACCAGGTGGTTGTGGAGCCCTAGTGAAAACCAGGCATCAGAAACGTCCATGTGTGTTTCAGTGGAGCTGGATTTCTAAGCCTCTATTATGGTTTCACCAACATTAATTCTCAGTATTTACTGTGTGCCAAGCACTGTTTTAAGCCCTTTTTATGCAGTTGACCCTTGAACAACATGGAATTAAATTGTGTGGGTCCACTTATATGTGGGTTTTTAAAATAAATATATTGGAAAATGTTTTGAAGATTTGTAATGGTTTGAGAAAACTCACAGGTGAACCAAGTAGCCTAGAAATATTGAAAAAATTAAGAAAAAGGCATGTCATGAATGCATAAAATGTATGTAGACACTAGTCTATTTTATCATTTACTACTATAAAATATGCACAAATCTGTTATAAAAGGGTAAAATTTATCAAAACTTATGTACACAGACAACAGACAACATGGTGCTATTTGCAGTCAAGAGATGTAAATAAACATAATGATGAAGTATTAAATTGTAACTACATAAAATTAACTGTAGTATATACTATACTAATGTAATAATTTTATAGCTACCTCCTGTTGCTTTTGCAGTGAGCCCAATAATTGTGATTATCTCCTTAAAACACTGTGTGATAATCATGGCCATGTGAGCAGTTCCTCCCTTCAGGAAAAAGTGATCTTGAAGTTCTGTTGTATTTTTCATCATGTTTAGTGCAATTTCACAAGCTTTGGGTAACACCAAAGGACACATTTAGCATGCCACTACCTGATGCTGGAAGTACTTTCAAGAAGCAGAGAAAAGTCATGACATTACAAAGAAAAAGTTGAATCGTTCGATATGTACTGTAGAATGTGGTGTGCAGCTGTGGTTGCCCACTATTTCAAGATAAGTGAATCCAGTGTAAGGACCATTATATATATCTAAAGGAAATTTATGATGTTGTAGCTACAGCTATGCCAACAGGTGCAAAAACCATGTACTTTTTGCAAAACCCCTTATAACAAAAATCCAGTTTTTATGTGGGTGCAGAATTGCTATAAGAAAGGCATACCTGCAGACTCTAATATGATTCAAGAAAAAACAAAGTCATTCCACATAGTGAGCAGAGAGTGGTGAAAAGTCTGGGATGTTAGTGGTTGGAGGAAATGAGGAGGCTGGAAATGGAGTAGGAAATCTAGGATACAGCCAGGTGTTAGAGGATCTTGGATGCCCGGGGAAGGAGTTTGGATTTTAAGCCACAGAGGAAAAAAAAAAATCATTATATGGCAACTTACAAAAAAAGGTGAAAGATCTAAAGCTGGATAATTTAATGCCAGCAAAGGATGGTTTGGTAATTTTTGGAAGAGGTTTGGCTTAAGAAAGAAAAAGTCAGGATAACAGGAGAAGCATCTTTTGCTGACCAAGAAGCAGCAGACAGGTTCCCAGATGTCATTAAGAAAATCATTAAGAAGAAAGGGGGTTTTTGGTTTCTTTTTTATTGCTTTTGTGTTTGTTTGTTTTGTTTTTTTGCAGTAAAGAAAGTTTAATTGATATGAGGCCACTGCGGCATGTAATCAAATCAATCTCCAAAAATTAGGAGGCTAGGGATTTTCAAGGATAGTTTGGCAGGTGGACTGGGGCTAGGGTATGGGAGCTGCTGATTGATTGGGGATGCAGTCATAGGGGTGTTGAAAATGGTCCCAGTGTGAAGACGGAGAGTCCAAGTGGGACATCAGTCATTAGAAATACAAAAGCCTGAAGAAACATCTCAAAAGGCCAATTGTAGGTTCTACAATAGTGATGTTAATTATAGGAGTAATTAGGGAAGTTGCAAATTCATTGGATTAATGGCTCCTAGTCATTTACACCTACATATTAGCAGAATGCAGACCCCTCTAATTCTCTTAACCTGTTGGCTAAAGTTTTACAAAGATGGCTTAGTTTAAGGGATATTATTTAAACTATAATGTTCTCCCAAAGTTAGATTGGCCCACACCCAGGAATTGTGTATTAGTCTGTTCTCATGCTGCTAATAAAGACACACCTGAGACTGGGTAATTTATAAAGGAAAGAAGTTTAATTGGCTCACAGTTCCACATGGCTGGGGAGGCCTCACGATCATGGCTGAAAAGCAAAGGATGTCTTACATGGCGACAGGCAACAGAGAACTTGTGCAGGGGAACTCCTTTTTATAAAACCATCAGATCTTGTGAGACTTACTCACTATCATGAGAACAGCATGATAAAGGTTCACCCCCATGATTCAGTTATCTCCTACCAGGTCCCACTCATGATGTGGGAATTGTGGGAGCTACAATTCAAGGTGAGATTTGGGTGGGGCACAGCCAAACCATATCAAATGACCAAGAGCAGTTTGGAGGTTAAAGGCAAGACTGAGTTGGTTAGGTCAGAATTTTCTCACTGTTACAATTTTTGCAAAGACAGTTTCAGTCCCCCTCCTTTGGGTTTCATCATACCTTATTTTTAATCTGTGGGTTATGGAAATGGAAAAAGGCTGACCGCCACTGTAACTTTTCCTGCTCATAGGGGCAGATTTGGAGTAGGAATTGCCCTCAGGGTAAGAGGATTGAAACTGTCTTGTAATTGTTGGTATGTATTCATGTGTGCCAGGTTGAGGTCCCAAGGTCTGCATAACAAAACATTGGTGCTCTTATCCACAACTTTCATACAGCACTTAAGTGAACAGGTGGATGATAAGACAAATAATGAGCCCCAGCATAAGGAGAGAAAGTGCTCACTTCAGGAATCCTTGTAGAACTGACCTGAAGCCTTAAGGGATACAGGTGAATGACCCCAAGAATCAATCAGATATGGGGTCATTAGCAGAGACTTAAACATAGTGGACAAGGCTGGAATCTAATAACAGTTGTACTATAGTTTTTTTCTGAAACAATTTTTCTCTCTCCAGTTCCCCATTTCTACCAAACACAAATCTTAGTAGGACCAGTTTATTTGCAGAATAAGTTCCAGTCCCATTATATTTGGCCTATTTATTTGCATAAAATGCAGAAAGAATAGTTATTTGCCACATAGATTCTTTTTCTAAAATTAATTGGTTTTGCTGGAATTTATTTCATAAGGAATCTCAGATTAGACCTTTTAAGACTCTGTAGCCTGGCCAAGGATTCATCTGTGCCTGCAGATACCTGTATGAATTGGGTGAATTTCTCTCTTCTTGAGGTCCCACAATAACTTGGGATTCCTGGGTCTGTCAGAAAGTGACATTCTTTATTTACTACAGGTTAGGAGCCCTGTAAAGGACAACGTATGAGACCAGTATTTCCAAGGGGCTGTTATCAGCTCTGTAAGTCAACCTCAGTTACTCAAAGCAGCCTGAAACCATGCCATTTCCAGTCAAAGCCTTGGTAAAATAATCAGTGTCTCCAGTTGTGTCCTGTTACAGAAAGCAAAATAAAGCAAAACAAAAAGCAGATTCTTATTGAACTTATGCAAAAAACTATATTGCCATATGCTAAGAATACAATTAGTTTCAAAATTCTGGAGAAATCAGGTAGAGAGAAAGAAATAGCCTCCAAAGTTTGCAGATAGAAATATGCTTCATTCAATTGTTAAAAGGTATAAACAACTCAAAAGGAAAGTTGTTGTATTTTTTGACCCTGAAAAACAAAAAGGATCAGAAATATTTCAAACAGTCATAGATTATTTCATTATTCTCTTAGTTCAGACCATACAGTTAATTCCTGTTCTGTTTAATATTCATGAACACATCAGCTCTTCTTGAGAGTCTTAGAAGTTTTCCCTCTATATTAATGGCACAATCTTTAAAGATATCAGAAATGTGCATTCAAGAGCACCTGTTAGAGTCCCATAGCTGATTATAAAATCACCTTTTGAGAAGGATCAAAGTAAAAATAATTTTGGATGACAAGAGGCTTAAAACAGCTATGGTTTAAGACTCAATTAACAAGGAAATTTGGTTATTTTTGTGACATACAATTTAGTATAACAATTATTACTGATAACATATACTAAGTCATATTGAAATTATAGGAATCTTGCACAATTCTGGAACACATACCAATAACACTTTCATATAAATACAGCCCAAAGAAAGCCGAATACCAATTCATACTTGATAGTGCTCACCTATAATTTCAACATGCCAGATAAGCCAGATGTCTCTTTTGGACTTCAGGGGACCTAATATTGAAGAAGTTAATGAAATCAAAAAGACTTAATTTAGAACTTGAAATTTTGATTTTGGAGGGTTTGTCAAATATCAAAGATTTAGAGTACTTACTGTTACAAAATAGTATCATTGGTTATTCATTTAGCAGAAGTGATAACTCAAAAATTTCAAAAGGCAAAAACCTAAACAGCATACCCAATAAAGATAGCATGTGGCTGCCTGAGTCTCTCTCCCCTCTTTTTCCTTTATTTTTATTTATTTATTTATTTATTGCAGTTTACTTAAAAGGCAAAAACCTTTCATTGTGGCTCAGTATTACAAAAAAACTTTGTTCGAAAGAGGAAAACCTAATTTTACCTTTGTATTAATGTACTATTAATGTTAGGCCCAATTTTCAAATAAAACCTTATAAACAAATCCATACAGTCTTAATCAATTTGACCATAAGGTAAGATTTTCATAAACCCCCCCATAACTTTTTATAATTTATTAAAGAGCAGATCAGTGTTCTAAGAAAACCATTATTCTGACACATGAGTACAGATTCTGGCCTTGTAACAATGTGCTTTTTATTTTAATGTTTTAATTTATAGAAAAACTAAATAATCCCCTTCAACTTTTGGCTACAT